GCTAGCTGGGAATACAGGGATTGTCCCAAATTAAAACAAAAAAATAAAAAAACAACTAATGTACATGAAATTCCTATACTTACTTAAAAAAAAAAGAAAAGCACCACACATTTCTGGTTTGCAGAGCAGAGAATGACAAATATTACAATCATTCCACTGTGGACTGCAATTAAGGTATCTCATAACAGTGCTGACCAGTTTCTAGGAATCAAGGAAACAGGTTCTGGGCATATGCCGCCTCTAAAATAATTGAAGTCGTAAAGTGTGCTATTAAAGTGTTCAGGTCCTTAATGATCCCTTGTTAAACTGCTGCCAAATATGTGAAGCTGGGCCAAGTTATATATTCTGGCTGTTTTATAAAGATGCCTTGACCCACTTACCACGAGTTTTATACATTTTCTGACAAGATCCAAAATGAAAGCCCACTGAACTGAGTGCTTGCATCCTATTACATGTGGAAGAGCCGGGAGAGAAGTAAGTAGCGATGTCTGCATGGCTACAACAATATGTACGTTCAGAGAAGAAGATGGGGGAGCTCTGCTAAAAGCTCTTCATGAAATACTTCCTATCTCATGTGATTAGTGGTGTATGATGGAGCTGGGGTGACGGAGGGAGGAGTACATAAAGGGTGAAAATGATTTTCCTGTTAAGACACCAACACAAATAAATGGCACTTTTGCTTATGAAAGTTTTAGTATTTAGCTTGTTGGGCAAACCAGAAAGGTTTAATTTTAATAGTCCCCATACATACACTCCATAATTAATGAGAGGGAAACTAATTCTAGCAAAAACAATGAACGTGACCCGTCATGTGTGGCATCAGATAAAACCAAATTATTTCAAATGCAGTGAAATCCTTAATTTGTCTAAGTACAGTACAGCTGTTGGATTCAGCAGCTGCTTGGCAAGAGGGTAAGGGCAGCTCTCCTGCCACAGCCATGCCGTGCCCCTGGCAGCGCATGCTGTATTGAACTGTGCGATGCTGTGGGGGCAGAGGGAGGGAGGGGAAAAAGCCCGAAACAGAGTGGTAAGAGAAAACACTACAGCCCCCTCAAATGCATCCATTCCTGCACTGAACCAGAGGTGGGAATCTCCTATAGAATCTCTGATTCATAGCAACTGAATATATTCCTAATATTTAATTAAAAGACATTTCTGTGGGACTGGATTACCAAATGCACCCTGGACATTGATTATTAAGCAGAAAGCTGACAGAAAAGATTTGCACACCATTGCATTACTGGCTTAGGTAAACAGAGTTAAACTACATCACTTTAGTTGATCAAACAGACCATTTCCTCCAGATTATCCATACTGGGAACTATGATTAAAATATTTCATGCCAAATCACTAATGAGATGGGTGCAATGATTTTAACATAGGACAACACTTTCTCAAATGCCACAGAAATGCCATTATATCATCATTTTAATACCTAGTGGATTATGTTGACCTTAGATCAGAAATGAAACACCAAAGGGTGGGGATGAACAAGAATGGAGAAGACTGCCTCCCTTGTGATGAGTAACTTCCACTGAATCCAAACTGATTAGCTATCTCCCACCACTACTGTTATTAATTTGGAAGGTAAAAAAAAATAGAAAGCAAAGTGGTTTGTTGCTCATGAAAACAAATTAACAAAAAAAAAAAGGGATGTGTGTTCTTTCTCACTCATGACAAACCCAAATACTGGACCTAAATTTCAAAAATATGGAGCAACTAAAACCACCACTAGTTACAGTGGGATACGTAAGCACTACTGTTTTTTTTGCATACAGCAAGTGAGAGAAATACACTAGGAATCTCCAATGGAAAACAGTATTTGCAAACAACCTCCCCAAAAATTCTCCCCTTGGGACTTTCCAAAACATTTATCAGGCTGCAAAAAGCACCTAACATGAAGTTCCTAAATTCACAGTTGGACACTTAGCACTGCCCTGCCCTGCTCCCCACCTCCCCCCAAAAAACCCCAGGCTGATTTTCCAAATGATCCTGTACATCTAGAAGGCCTTTTATTTAGGGGTGCTTACCTAGCAAATTCACAGTTAATGAAATGCATGCAACTGAGAGCCTCCCATTACGCTTTTAGAAATGTCTTTTACCTTCTTTTCTGACAAGTCATGATCCAGCTCGTCTTCAGAATCATCCTCGCTCTGCTGCTGTTGCTGCTGCTCCTGCATGTCCTTCATTTTAATCAGCAGCTCTGCCTTTGGTGCAGATGTGCTGTAGTAAGTAGAATTGGTTGTCAGGGAGATGGCAGACGGTGTGCTCTGCTCCTCTTTCCTGGTAAAAAGTCAAAACTTCCATTAACTGCCTTGACACCCTAATCACCGAAAAGAAAGGACACTCTTTTAGAGCCATCATTTCACCAGTTAAGCAGGGGGTTCAACAGAAAGCCATTACCTATGGAAATACGATAAATAAATACTGGTTATGAAGAGAATTTGTGTGAACTCAGCACATGCCCACCAAAAGCTAAAAGTGAAGTAGTGCAGAAGATCTTTCACCATTACAATGAGTGAAACAGACCTAAGATATCTCAGCTGGAAACAAAACATAAGGTTACATTTTACTAAGTAGTGCAAAGACCTCCATGTCAGAAAGAGTATCCCTTCAGACTGCCAAATGTGGGCTACTACAATGTTAAGTATTTATCTTTTTGATTATGGGATTACACATGAACTTCTTGAGAAGGCTACAACTTAATTTAGTAACTCCTATCAAGAAAACAAAAGACCCAAAGAATGTCAACATGGATGGAAGTGAAATATTTTCTTACTTTGCTCTCATTCACTTCCAGGAAACACCTCATGCCCACTTCAAGTTGTCTTTGTAAATTTTCATCACATAAAAAAAGGCTAAAATATTGTTCCTTCTCTCTCCAGTTACTAGACTGGGTGATCTTGGTAAAAATATCTAATTGCTGTGAAATGGGAGAAGTTAATTATTTCTTACGTTCCCACACAAATAGTTTTCACCAGGTCTCCGGAAACTTTTCATAATATACAACACTCTTCTTTTTCTGTCATTAAAGGTATTGTTAGTAGTATTATGTTTGACTGCTATTTTAACTAAGAGTCCTAGAAAAGCCCCAAGCCTCAGCAGTAGGAAGGTCCTCACCTTCATCCCCCTAGGAAAACGGACACACTTTGGACAGCAGCATACAAGGAACAACTGGCCTACAGAAAGTAATACTCACTTCTCCTCTGAAATTTTTGGAGAAGGAACTTTTGGCAGCAGCTTCCTGCGCTGCTGAGCTTCTTCTAAGAGGTGTTCGTCTTTAGGGAATATTCCAACCATCAGATCCATTGTTGTTTTTATTTTCACATTAGGATCTAGTATGTCTGCTAGAGATTTATCTCTTCCCACAATCTCTCTGGCTAGTTCCTCTGACTTCCAGTCTTCAAAGGTCTTCTCTTTGGCCTTTACATAGCTGACTGCTGGTGTGACAGCACTGTTATCCTTCAAGTTGCTCCCAGGTTCTTCAGCTGGTTGAGGGTCAGCTGGTTTAGTTCTGGCTTCTGGCTCTGGCTCTACACCTTGCCTGGTGTAAGCACAGAATCGTGAATAGGATTGCTCAGAAGTGCTGAGTGTTTTAATTTGGTCCTTTTCCAAACCACTGGGTAAAGCAGGAGGCTCCATGGTACTGACGAGACTTTGGCGACTCTCCTTCTCTGCGCTGCTCTCAGAATGAACTATCTTGATGGGAACCATTTTCACCGTAGTATTGTTGTCTATAACCCTTTCAATTCTGGAAAACAAGGAAAATCCATCTTTAGAAATGTAAGAACCTTACAACTCAATACTTATCTGCAAATCAGAGGGGAAGCACAAATATGAGAAAAGGTAGATGAGAGATCTAGGTAACAATATTCCTTGCATTGTACTTCAAAACCTAAATCTACGTGTTTTCCTTTCTGCCCACACATTTTAAATAGTATTAGTTCATTTGTAATGAACTAAGTAATCCTAATACCAGCCTTGCACAATACTCATGGTATAGGACTTATGTTTGTTTCCATGAACGTGTGGGTCCAATCTCAGCAGCCAGACCCCAGATTTGAGACTGTGCTGGTGAATTGCCTTTTACCCCTTTGTTGCCACATATACGGAAGAAAACACGCCTCAAGCTCAACCTCATTGCCTCACACAGATCCAATAGTGGGCCTCAGCTTTTGGCCTGACAGGCAGCTTAGCTGCCTGGGGAGGCTGTGATACCCTCACATCAATTCCCAGCTCTTCCAAGGGAAGAGACAACAGACCAGATGGAAGCATCCTGCAGGCTAGGCCTGTGCTGAACTACAAGAATAACAAATAATCACAAATGAAAAACCTGGAAATCATTCAAAATTTAATTCCATGATTGAAAACAAAATAATCTGTATTTGTAAAATTTCACACAAGATACAGAAGTTTAATAAATAGATCCCACCATAGTGTCCTAGTTTTCTAATTCAAGAAGAAAAACCAGCCACTGAAGAGGATAGCACACAATTCTGGATATTCCTTTTATGGAAAGCTTATAGCAAAAATTCTGTACTGCACAGCATGAAGGGCCACCTCGGACATTCAGAAAGGCAAGCTATTTAAAGAGGAGGCTGACTTTGATTTTTCAATTGGACAGTAACACGTTAAATACCATTACTGAAACATCTGTACTGTATGTAAGCTGTACAAGAAACTGAAGTCTAGTTTGGTGGTTTTGAGTTTGCAGAAAGTTTGAAATTATTGTCATAATGTGGGTTTGGAAGTTCTACAGCAAGTAAAGGAACATTGCCTACTAGCTAAAATATCTGGTTTCAACTGGCTGGGTTGCTTGCCGCCTTTCAGATAAGTGACCAAGACACTACGGCTCTTTTCCTCTAAGTGTGGGTGTGTCACTTTCTTTAAAAATAAACATATACTTCATTGTGCTGTACTTTTCTTTCACAGGGAATAGAAAAATCCGTTTGACTTCATATTTTTCAGAAGTTGTATCTTATATTTTAAAGGTATATTTGCTTCTGAATGACTGTGCAGTCTCCCAATAGCTGTTTACTTTCCTCAAGTGCTCTGCAGACATGCTTTGGCATACTGATTCAACTTTTGGGGCCATTTTCCCAGCCCGTGCTGAACCTCCTCATTCCCATTTGGTCAGGGTGTTTTCATTCAGGGTGACTGTCATTTTAAATAGCTCGCTCCTGTGTCCGCCACGCAGCCCCAGCTCCCTGCCTTCAGATGTGGGCTCTCCTCCTGGCTGCCCCGGAGCTAGGCAGAGGCCTGCCATTGCCTCCGACCCTTTCTTTTGCTTGTTTTTAAATAAAGCCCACACCTCTTGGACTCCACAGACTGCAAAAAGGAACACATTTCTGAATTCGGGGGAAATACAAGATGCGTGCATAAGTGTGTGTGGGGGAGTAATGGGAAGAGAAGTGAGCTGACTGCAATTCTTTACACAAAATGCCCGTCATCTGTTTTGAGACGCTGAGTACATGCCCCTCAGCCTAGTAAAAGATTTTCCAGGTCCTTAAGGCATCATTAAGTCAACTGACTTCTGTCAGAGCAAAGACAGTTCAACATGAGGTGCTTCAGAAATTCTGTTTCTGCGATCACTATCCTCCTGATTTCTGAAGGTTTTCCATTTGTGGAACTGCAGCACGAAATTTTGATTTGCAGCAACTCTGTGGCCATTACAAAGCTTTACTCCAACCATGAGCAGAGTCACTCCTTGAACCAAGTGTATGTTTACTGGAAATTTATTGATGCACATCCACTAATGCACTCTTTTCATCTTCATTATCACTAAACAGTCATCTTTGGAAATAGCTGGGTTCTGCACACCACCAGTATTTCCCCACACTACATTGTCCTACCTAAAACGCTGCAGGAAACCCTACACACTCACTCAATCCTGTTGATAAACAAGACACATTTCTTAAAGAAATGTAAACAGCTACATGCTGACATCATCAAACATTAGCTGCCCACAGCATGCAAACTGGCATGTCCAAAAGCTCATATGCGAGGAGCCAACAGAAGTAATAAGCCAAATCTAATTAATTGCATATTAAGATACATCTACTTGACGACTTTTACTCATATGAAATAAATACCATACAGTAAGTACCACATAGAAGGTTCAGAGGTATGGCCTGCATGTCTTTCCTTTTTTGCCATACCTGTGTTATTGACTAATTATTAACTGATGACAATACATTGTGCACAAACAAGAGCTGTCTGGGCTTAAGAATTTTAAATGTTAACAAAAGATTTTCAGTGTAAGTTTATTATCATTCAGATATGGGCATATAATTAGGCACACCTCAGTGCTCATTTTAACATTAAAGCTTAGTAAAAAGGAAGGACAAATAGAATTAGCTTCCTATGCAGCCTTAGTATCTATTCATAAAGCAATACATTAAGGAAGTCATTACTGTCATCTACCTTTGAAAAGTGCAACATGTCATGTGAATCCTAGCATCCATGTGCATAGTAAACTGTATTATTACTTCATGTTAAAAAACACTGTAGGATGAAATACCATTTTCTTCCCTCTGGTTACAAAAGGAAAAACCTCAAGGCATGTTTAGGGAAAAAAGTAATTCATCTTTCCTGTGTCATAAGGCACACTGGAAAACAGCATGATTGAGTCTATTCAACCATTTACATTACAGTAGAGACAAGCTATTCCAACTACTTTTGCTCAGAGAAGTAACCTCTGCATTCATTCAGCCTGGGGTTTTTGTTTTCATTCTTTATCCATGAATTGTAGTGCTGAAGGATTTATGAAAACTAGGATCCCTGAGCTTCCTGGAAGAGTTTGTTATCTTGTGGGAGAAAAACCTTTTATGATGTTAGCAGCATATGACCGACATAGCACTCAATTTCAGTTGGTTTGTCTAATTCTGAGTTTATCTAGCCTGGGAAATGACTGACATTCTGCTAAATCTTCAGCCCATCTCAACACAAACAGTGCTGCAGACCCCTCCGCAGACTACCTGGTGTGCCATGTTTCATCGTAAAAGTAACATGAAAACAGTCATGATTTGTCAGTGTACCTTACTGTGTGTGCTTTCAAAACACATGTTCTCACAAAGGATACAGCTTCCCTTCCCACATCTGCTTTGTCCCTACACTGATTCATGTTCATATACAGACTCGGGTGAGGGAAATGACAACAGGGAATTTTCTGATTTCACCCAGACATAGAATGGAAAATCCATCTGAATCCATCCCTTCCATTTTTCTACAAACTACCAGCTGTAACACCTGAGCAGCATCAATCAGCTAAAAGAAACCACAGACCAGTTGAAGGACTTCAGTGGTACCAACTGGAATTTCACAAAAGTCTTAGGTCTCTTTAGGACATGCTGGCATGGCTCATGCTTAATGAATCTAGTAAAGAAAACGAACAGTCAACCATTGATAAGGTCTAACTGGGCAAAAAGTGTTAATAAAATAGTTACATCTAGTACCTGGCTGGGTTCTCATCCTGTACGGACACAGGAGGTTTATCAGTAAGCTTCTGTGGTGCAAACTGAGGAGAAGGGGACCTTGATGTCTCCATGCCAGGTTTGTGAAGATACCGATACTTCGAAGACAATACAGACTCAGACCTAAGGTGCGTTTTTTCTTCTAAGTGCTGACAAACATTCTCCGTGGATGACGCTTGCTGGAGCTGCTGTGGATTAGCACTCTTCAGTTTTCCATTGAAAGCTGCAGGACTCTGACAGAGAGAGGATTGACTGGCAAATACTTCGGCAGAGCTGGGGGACGAGGACGGAAAAGGTCGGCTGGGCACTGCCAGCAGGGATTCAGAAGAGGTGCCAAGCGATGGTGCGGAATTATCTGGTCGCCTGTATTTATCTCTTTTCGGTGGCGGCGGCCTCTGAGGAGCAGGTCCACGCTTCTTATTCAGCAGCACCGGCTCTACCCTATGGTTTTCCTCTCCTTTGCCCTGGGACAGACAGGAGTGGTTCTCGTTCAAGGTCTGTGGCTCAGAGCAGGGGAGATGAGGCGGGCTACAACGCTTGCTCTTCCCGTTCACGTTTTCCTGAGAGTATCGGTAATCACTAGGCAACGTCCCAGACCTCCCCCGTCTCTCGTGAGGCAGAACTGTAGGCTCTTGTGCATGCAAAGGTCTCACAGATGCCTTCCACTTGTGGTCTAAATTCTGGTCCAGCTGATCCCTCTTCTCCCGCGGGTTATCCCGCAGGGCCCCTGTGTCAGCTTGCCTAGAGAGAAGAACACATTGTTAGAGCACTGCTGATTTATTTCCTTTGGTGCGAGGCCACTGCACTGATCCAGGGAGCTTGAACACTGAGATCACATCCAACACTTAACACCAACTCCTCCAGTCTACAGTAACTGTACGGCACAAAAGCATCCTCTCACGTATGGGCACACACGCTGTACCTAATCTAACGTGATGAGTCAAAGCATAATGTCAGGCAAAATTAGGGTATGGAGCGCCATGGGATGCGACACAACCTCCGGGTAACCTGAGGCGCTGCAGTGTGCATGGCGTAGTTAAATGCACAGCACACCTCAAGAGTTGATGTATGTGGCACAGCCAAATGTGCTAATGTTGATAGAAAAAAAACCACCTGTCTCGAGAAGAGGAATCCTCATACTAAAATTTAATTCTTATCTTGCTTCAGAGTCACTAACAAAGTGTGGAGAACAAGTTCCTTCTCTATGTGCAAAATTAATTCTTCGGTGCCGTTTTAAATGTGAATTGAATACCATGAACTTTAATTATGAATGTGGAGGTTGAATTTTTACATAACTGGTAAAAAATCAAATGAGTGCAAACAAAATGTTTGCTGAAGCTAAAAATCTGGGAAAGGGAAAATGAGTATCTCCTGAAAAAAAGGCAGAAAAGGAAATTCAGAAAGGATAGTATTTTCCAGTCAGGCTTATCTTAAACTTGAACTTCTTTTGCCCTGTCAGCACAAATGACAAACAATGGCCAAAAAGGTCTTATCTTAGACAGAAATATTTTTGGGTTTATTCCAATTTTACACTCTCTATTCCTCTAGCCAGGAAGCAGGCTTTCACAGCTCCAGGCTTGTGCTTTGCCACAAGACATGTAGTTCATTTGTGCTCACCAGAGAAAGACAA